GTCCCAAGCCATAGAGAAGACCCAGATGGATTTTGCGATGGTATGAGACAACTGGTGGACATGTATAGGCTTAACGGAATTGAAATTAGGGACATTTACATGACGAAAATGGGAGTTGATTGGACAAGATGCAGACAGCATTATAACCCAAATGATAATGCAAACCCACCTGTGCTTCTTCCTGCAGCAGACCCACTCATTAATGATAGATTAAATACTCTACATAATCAAATCAGAGAAATGTTCAAAACTTTACCTGACTATGGGAAGTTAGCTCAGGTAAGACAAATGGAGGATGAGACAGTAGTAGATTTTAGAGTGCGGTTTGAAACAGCCTTTAGAAAACACAGTGGGTTGAGAGACAATAATGCAGCGGAGCGTGTAATTTGGGATCAACAGTTTAAACAAGGGATGTTGGCTAATTTAAGACCAGAAGTCTCTGAATGGATAAAGAGAAATTTTGTTGGATTGCCTACTGCGACGCTGCCTGATTTCATAACACATGCTATTCATGCTGAAGTGGTTGCTAGAAATAAGAAGAGAAATAAAGAGAGAGAGGAGCAAGCCAGATCAGTAGATTCTTTCTTGCAAGATTTGGGAGACTTGTGTTACCAGAGAGCACAGGGCCAATCAGCAAGGAGGGAGCGGAATGGAGGCAGAGGTCAAAGCAGAGGGAAGGGGCAGATGAAGACTAGGAGAGAGAGAAAGTTGGACAAAAGCAATGATTATTGTTACATATGCAAAAAGAAAGGACATTGGGCGAGAGAATGTGAAGCATGGGCCAGAGAATGTGAAGCAAGTTCAGATGAGGATAAGAGAGAAGAATATGTAGGAAAAAAAGGGAGAAATCAAAAACATCACAATGCATGACTAGGGAGTCAAAACAAAACTAAAGTTCTGACAAAAAGTAATGATGAAACAGTGAAAATTCCAAATTTAAAAATGACTTCCATAATTGAAAATGAAAATGGATATGATTCTGATTTGGCAAAGCAATGTGATGAGGTTATAGATTTTACTCAATTAGATATTTTTCATGTGTCTAAACCAGAAATAACACTTTACATTGAAGAAAGGCCCTATGTGTTCCTTTGTGATTCTGGAGCGGATAAAACAGTGATTAGGGATGTGAGCAATATACCCATTTCAAAAAACTCAATCACAGTGAGATCAGCTAATGGGTTAGTGCAAAAACAAAATTTGAGTCAGTTGATTACCATAACCAATCCAGAAACAGGCGATGAAGCCATGCTGAAAGTGGTTCTCTCACAGCTGTGCCCGTACAATCTACTGGGACGTGATGCTATGGTTGCATTAAAAATGGGAATATTTCCAAACAAAAATGGAAATATGGAAGCTAGGCGCTGTAGCAACACTGATATCCATGTCTTAGAAGGGGAGGGATCAGTATTGTATTGTTGGACTTTGGACATGCCGACAAGTGACCCTGGAGAATCAGGGAAAGAAATTGTAAAAAGGGCAAAACAGGCATTAAATCCAAGTGCCATTGTCAAACAACATGATGAGTTACATGTCACTCTAAGATTTAAAACAACTCCAGGAGGTGATCCAGTTTACGATAAGCTTGTAAAAAAATTGGGTCCGCAGAGAGTTCAAATTAGAGACATTTACTGGAGAGACAAAACAAGTTTCTGCACTGTAGGAGTGACAGATGCAGTAAAACAGCTTATGGGAGATTTGCAGAATCCACATATCTCTATATCCAAGGACCCAGAGGCAATGTGGAGTGATAACAATGCCTTTGTTGGTCAAGTGGAATCAATTAGAGATTGGGAGCAAGATAAGGAAGTAGGAGTATACTGGAGTAAAACAACTGGCTGGAGAAAACAAAAGATAAACTGGACAGTAGTATGTACGCCAGCTGTACATCTGACTGACCAGGAGCTTGCATGACTAATGACTCTAACACAGGAAGAGGAGGAGGAGCTTGAGCAAGTTCCAGATGAGGTGTGGTCAAAAGGACTCACAGATGTTGGGTTAATTAAGGGAATGTTACCAGTGGAGATCAGAGCAAAAACTGAGTACAGGCCCAGGATAAAACAATATCCTTTAAAACCTGATGCAGTAGAAGGAATAAAACCTGTAATACAGGATTTAATTAAAAAAGGAATAATTCAAAAATGCTCAGATTCCCCTTGTAACACACCAATATTCCCAGTTAAAAAGGCATCTCCATCGACAGCCTGGAGAATGGTTCAAGATCTGCGAGCTGTGAATGAAGCAGTTATTCAAAGAGCACCTAATGTACCAGATCCACATACACTGCTTAATCAATTATGACCAGAGGCTAAAATCTTCTCTGTGATTGATCTCAGCAATGCATTTTGGTCCATTCCAGTGCATAAAGACAGTCAATTTTGGTTTGCATTTACCTTTGAAGGGGAAAGATATGTTTTCACAAGATTAAGCCAGGGGTTCGCTGAATCCCCAACTATTTTCTCTGATGCAATAAAAAATTGTCTTGCTGATTTTAATCCACCGGAGGGAAGCCAGATTTTGAGCTATGTGGATGACATTTTGGTGGCGTCTAAGACAGTTGAGAGCTGTAAAAAAGATACTATAGCTTTACTGAAACACTTGGCTAAAACTGGCAATAAGGTCAGCAAAAATAAAATACAGTTATGGAAGACAGAAGTTAAATACCTAGGTCATACATTAACCAAAGATGGAAGGTTAATCCATGGGGAAAGAAAAGCTTCTATTTTAGCTGCACCTAGACCCGAAACAAAAAAACAGATGATGTCATTTTTGGGGTTATGTAATTATTGCCGGCAATGGGTAGCTAATTATGCAGAATTAGTAAGACCATTACAAAATTTAATTTTTGAAAAGCCAATGACACCTAAAGAAAACATTCATTGGACTGATGAAGCAGTCAAAGCCTTTAGCAAAATTAAAGGAATTATAGCTAGCTCAACAGTTTTAGCTTTGCCGGACTACTCTAAGCCATTTGAACAGACAGTTGACTGTAAAAATGGATTCATGACATCAGTGTTGACTCAAAAATGGGGGTCAAAACAAAGACCAATTGCTTATTATTCTTCAAAGCTTGACCCGGTGGCCAGAGCGACTCCAGTGTGTGTCCAAGCGGTTTTGGCTGCAGCATTAGCTGTCCAGGCATCTGCTGAAGTTGTTCTGTTTCACCCATTGACCTTGAAAGTACCACATGCTGTGTCAATGCTACTTTTGCAAACAAGCATGACATTCCTATCACCAGCCTGTCACCTTTCCTGCATGACACTTCTACTGTCACAACCACATGTGACCGTAGAAAGATGTCATACAGTAAATCCATCTACTCTAATTCCAACAGAAGGAGATGGCACTGCACATGATTGTGTTCAAGAAGCATATAAAGACTTCCGTCCAAGACCTGATATAAAGGACATGCCACTCTCTGGGGGAATTACAGTGTTTGTTGATGGCTCAGCAGGGAAAGATGAGTTTGGGAAAAATCATGTAGGATACTCGGTTACCACTGTGGATAAAACAATTGAAGCAAAAGTACTTCCAAGTAACTTATCTGCACAAGCAGCAGAATTAGTAGCTTTAACAAGAGCTTGTGAATTGCATAAAGATAAGAAATTAACGGTGTATACTGATAGCCAATATGCATACGCTACAGTTCATTTGTTTTGTCAACAGTGGAAACATCGTGGTTATAAAACTTCTGCGGGAAAAGATGTAAAGCATGCAACATTATTAAAGAATTTACTCAAAGCGATAATGTTGCCACAGCAGCTTGCTGTATGTAAATGTGAAGCTCACACGCGAGGGACAGACAAAGTGTCAACAGGAAATGACACAGCTGATAAAGCTGCAAAAGAAGTAACAGGATTACTGCTTAGTGAAGAAACACAAGATTCTGATGATCTTTTAAAAGAAATGCAGCAACAAGCGCCAAAAGCAGAAAAAGAGAAATGGCTTAAAGAGGGAGCTATATTCAATGGGAGTTTGTACATGGGTCCAAACGATAAGCCAGTTCTACCTAAATCAATGTTTAAATGGGCGGCTTTAGTGAGCCACGGAGTAACCCATGTTTCTTCTGCAAGTATGTGTGGATTGGTGAACAAATATTACACAACATATGGGTACAATTTATACTCAAAACATTTTTGTAATCAATGTGTAATCTGTATAAAACACAATTCACAAGGAAATATGAGACCAAAAAGGGGGGTATTTCCTAAACCCACACATCCTTTTGAAGAAATCCACATGGACTTTATCCAGTTAAATAAAGTGAACAATTTGGAATATTGCCTCGTGATTATTGATGCATTTTCCAAATGGGTAGAATTGTTTCCTTGTCACTGTCCGGACGCTCTAACAGTGGCTAAAGCAATATGTAAAAGAATTGTGCCAACATTTTCGATTCCCAGAGTTATCAGGAGTGACAATGGAACACATTTTGTAAATGATGTGATTGATAAGGTGGTAAAAAATCTCAACATAAATCTAAAAAGACATTGTAGCTACCATCCACAAAGTGCAGGTTTAGTTGAAAGAAATAACGGCACTATTAAAGCTAAATTGAGGAAATGCATGGAGGAAACAAACAGACAATGGCCTGAATGCATAGACTTGGTACAGTTAAGCATGCATATAACACCTACTCAGGGTAGTGCATTGACACCATTTGAAATATTATATGGTAGGTCATACACACTTCCAGATTTACAGCCAAATAAGCAGTTCTCTCCTGATGATAATCCTACGTTGGCTGACTATATGAGAAAAACATTATTGACTAGAGCGTGTTCAAGAAACAAATTGATAGTTTGAAAATATATGCTCAATAATTTGTTGATAACATTTTATTATAAAACAGATGCCATTTTTAAGAGAATATTTTTCCATCAATGGATTGTGCATATCATTAATATATTGAAAATCAATAGATCATCCACAAACCATTATGAATCTTTATAAACGTATTAAAACTTTGAAGCAGCATATTTCTGTACATAAATTTTTTTTCAATATTTGACTCCATGCTGCGAAAACATTTCAATAAAAGAATGACATTATGAACTTGAGTTTATGATCAATGGTTACTGGATATTTTATGTTTTTAATTGCATATGCCTTGCATATAAAATAGGATACATCTACAGATTGAGCTTTGGAATTAGGTAATCATCAAAAAAAAACAAAATAATTGGTAGCTGGGTGGAGGATGTGACATCTATGATTGAATTTTACCAAATGAATAAGTCTGTTAGTGTGCTCGTATTTCTCCTCTTAAATGTGTGCAACAACACTGACAGGGATGAACAATGGTCATCTAATCTTAAAGATTCAAAAACTACAGAGACCAAAGACATCAACACTGTAAAAATATGTAAAGCATAAGAATGCAATTGCAGAAATTATGATTTTTTTTTTAAATAGCCAGACATGGATGCATTTTTTATAGTAGTATGTGTATTATTTGCATAACTTACATCAAGCTGTCTGATGAGACTCGACAGACCCGGGATGGCACGCTTTGCTCTGAAGAGCTCCAAGAAGCGGTCCAGGTATTTGTCAATTCCAGTGATGAGTGTTTCTCTGAGATTAACAGCTGTAAGTCGAGCAAACTCATATTCGAGCTAAAATGAGAGGGACACAAAAGTGGTTAAAGTGAGTTACCTTGATAAGTATTCTACCCTTTCAACAACTCACCTGACGCACAAAGTAAAGGGCCGGCCACCTTTTCAGGACATCCGCAACGAGGGGTTCATCCTGGACGATCTCTTTTCTCCGAAGTGAATATTGTGTTCTCCATCAATTCATCAACTATCTTCCAATCAATGCTTTTCTTCTTTGTTTTGCGGATTAACACTTCCCTTTCCCTTTCCAAGTCATTCTCTTGTTTTCCTTCTGGATAGCATGGCATGAAGTTACTGTAACCTCTGACTTTTTAGCCTTTTTTATTTTTCTGGGATTTGTCGTTTCACTAGCTTGTTCAAGTTGAGTTGAGGGCATCCAGCTTGGCGCAGCTTCTGGCGGTGGTTTGCCACTTTAAACTTCAAACTGAAATTCAAGTTGTACCAACCAAACACAGAGCCTGGATCTTTCAAGCAAGGAAGCTTGACCACAAGGGCTTGAGCCACAGTATTTATCTGTTCTCGTGTTGGGTACAGAGTGTAGACAAATATAGCTTCTGCCATTTTCTCTAGCATATCACTCTTCATTTCTTTCGGTGTCTCAAATAAATCTCCATTTTTAATGAACGCTTCATTTGCTCCTCTAAGTCTCAACTCTACATCATGTGCAAAAGTTGGGATTGGAAAGGGAAAGGGAAATTGGCCCGTCTGACTTCTTCCTGGGGAACTATCAGAAGATGACGGCATGCTTTCTGTGTCAATTGTAGAATCTGTGTGATATGATTCTTTACGTGTGGATAGTACTTTCAGGGTTGCCTTGTCTCTTGGGAGGTCCAACATGCTGTTTAGGTTATAGAGTTCCATGTTGAAGTCAGGGTCTTGATGCTGTATGATAATTTCGCCACTGAGCCCGAGTTCGGTCTTAAGAAAGTCACAAAAATCTTCAATCGTGTCCGGTAATTTGTCCAAATGGACCTTCTTGATGTTGTCCTCACCCAGGATTATCCGCAGCAGCATGGTGAAACTAAGAAGTAACAGTATTTGTAATGAGTAATTAATTAGTAATCAGCATAAAAATGAAAAAAAAAAAAAAAATAACTAATCGTCTCCAGACACAAGGAAAAAATATTCCTTTTTGTTCCTTTTTTTTCCCTTGTTTCTGTCCGAGGACAGAAACAAGAAAATTAACATTTCTTAGCATAAAACAGGTCATTAGATCTAAGGAACTGTCTGAATACTTATGTACGTGTGATAAGTTTTATTTCTAATTAACTCAGTCCCAAAAAACCCTTTCTTACTTTGCCATTACAAAAAGGTAGAGAGTACATAGAAAGGAAGTGATTTGAATATGTTTTTGATTTTTTTTTCTATTATGACTGTAGCATTGGAAAATGTAAAAATGGAAGGTTTAATACTGCCTGTGTACAAAGAGCCGAGGAGGGCTGATAAGGCTATACAAAAAAATACAATTGAAAATTTCACAGTTCCAATTGTTAGGAATGTGGATTAGATGATTTTTTTTTGTAGTTTCAAAGTCATTATGATAAATATTTGTGTTAAACCTACCTTAAGTATAACCTTGCCTGCAAGCTGAATTCTCGCGGTATTTGTGAGTTCACAAACACTCGAGAATACATCTTGTACCGCTCCCGCTTACACTTTTCGAGTCGAACCACTGGGTGTGCGAGCCAATCACGCGCCAGTCTGGGGGTTTAGGGCGGGATATCCGGGTTTGACGAAAGCAAGAAGTGCCGGGCCGAAGCAAAACAAACATGGCTACGCAGGAGGACGGACGCAAAGTCAGTTTTAGCAGAATCTCCAATTTCTTTTTTGAAAGATGAACAGCGAGAGGCGCTTTGTACATTTCTGGACGGCAACCTTGGTAGGCGGGCACACAGCGTCACTTCGCCCAATCAGCTTCAAGTATTCTGCTGCTTACCCCTCCTTTCCCCGAAAGGATTCTCCGGGAGAAATCCCAGATTGATATCGCGGAGAACGCGTTAGAGTTCTACACAATCATCAATCTGGCTTTTGCCAGGTTACCTTAAGTATGCAAAAGGAAGGCCTTGGGGGAGATCAGAAATCTTCCATGCACACAATATGCTGCCAATGGAGTGTAGTGGTTTAGCTCTTCTGGTTCAGCCACAACCAATTGAACAGAATCTTTTTTGCAGACTTCGTAGCACCTGAGATGCTCCAGGAAAAAGGCTGTGAAAGGTTCAAGAACAAAGAATGGCTTGTTGCATACAAACAGCACATGGACAATTTTACAAAAATCCGGTAGTCCACAGGTACTCCCGTAAGAGAGAAACATTCCATTAGAGTACATTGTTCCATGTATGACAACAGTTGAGGCCAATGTAACGCTTTTGACAGAAAATCTTCTTAGAATAACTTGCTTTACAGATGAGGTTAGCATGTCCACAGAAATGTTTGATGCATGTTTTAATTCCACTGATGGTTTAAACAAGTTTGGCGTTTCAAAGTAGTATGCCAAAGTAAGTTGGTGTCGAACGGACAATGTTGACTGAATGTTCTTGAAATTATTGACATCCCGGACAACCTTCTTGAAAAAGCTATGTTTAGCTTCAAACCTGATTGTCCATAATTCGACAAGCGGTCCAAAGCAACGAATCATCTGGGGATAATGTTCCAAGAAGTGATGTTTCGGTTTAAGTTTCACTCCTGGAAAAACAGTCTGTAAAATGCTTCTGTGGTTTTTAATTTTTGACTCAAGGTAGCAAAGACTGCCTTCTGTAAAGACAGAAGATACTGAAAGTTCAACAATGTCTTTGAGTTCAAGAATTACAGCCCAAGCATCATCATCCTCTGGAACAACATCACCAACAAAAAGGGGTAGAAGTCTTAACAAGGTCCAGTTTTCATGCCCATTTCCACCAATGGTTTTACTGACAAGAATTTTCGAAGCAAGCTTTTGCGGACGATTCACCCTGTCTGAACATTTATAATGAAACCGCTGTATGGCAGCATTTAAATAATCAAGGGTAAAGTACTTTCTTTGGATAAATTTTTTTAAACACAAACAAAGTTCAAATGGAACGATGCCTTCTAGCAGATCATGTAACAGGTCAGGGGGGAATCCAGTAACACAGTGGAAGAATGACAGTTTGTTTAACACACAGTCCCTTTTCACTCCACAAGCACTTGATAAACTCTCATTCTCTTTAAGCAAGGAGAGATTTGCATTATACGAGTCTTTTGATCTCAATGGAAATGATCCACTCTGTACAGAATGATTCTGTATGTCAGAACGGCTGGCAGTGCAAAATCGACAGAACTTATCAACATTGAATGATTCCTGAAAACCAGCAAATGAGTGTGCTCCTAAATTATCAGAAGACACAAACAAAACAGTTCCTTTGATACTCGAGCCCCACTTGGACACAAAAACACCTTTAGTTTCAAGAATTTGGAGATCTCTTAATAATGGTTCAAGAATGCTGTCATAGCCAAAGGTTTTGACATCAGCACTTCTGCATAAAAGAGCAAGGAATATGCTTGGCAATGAGGACCTGAACTTAAGAGGTATATTTGCTATTATCCAGTATACAGCACACAATTTATGTTTTTTTCTAGAGGTTCCTAATGGGTTGCACACCTCAAAATCATCGATATACAAACCCAAAGAAATGCTTTGCTCTTCCCCAGAAAGTAGATCGTTTTCTTTGAAATATGACCCATCAAACACACTGGAATAGTATCCAGGTTTGGGATCTAAGTTTGATTCAGCAACTCTGTCTGTGAAGTCTACTCTATTTAACAAAACTTGAAGGGTTTTTAATACTGGTATATAAGCAAATGTTTTCTTAGAATGCAAGTCCAAAATGTATTCAATTGGCTCAATAAAACAAAAGTTATTTTTAAAATAAGTGCGTCTTTTTGCCACTGATCCAAGAGGACCTTGTTCTGAAATGGCGCAAAGGGGTTTCAGATCACTCAATGCATCAATTACAAAAGATAAAGTCTTGTCATCTACATTACAGCTGTGCTCCCTTAGTACACTTCTCACAGTATGTACATTTAGGTCCTTGATTAAATCTCCTATTTCAATAAACTCATTAACTATTTCTTGAATTGCAAACTGGGACACATGCAAAACTGCTTTCATACGCAGTAGTAAAGAAGCCAACCCTTCCTCTATTTTTCTTCTGACTGTGACTTCAGACTCATTTACATCATCGTTCAAATCAATCTCACATTCAACCAAATCTGACTGTGAATCAAGAGGGCAATCTTCACAGTTTGCTTTGACTATAAGCTCAGGCTTGAAATTTTTAACAGTGCATTGAGAATGGTAACGAGATTTGTGTGCTGTAAAACTTGAATACACATGTGATTTGAAATTGCAGAGATCAAATGGACAAGTTATTGACTCTTTTCTCTTGAGGTGCTTTCCAAGATGAGCCACATACTGTTTTAAGCCAGCTGGTTGGTTGAAGTCACACAGTGAGCACTCAAGTTGAAATCCAACAAGTCCAGAGGAAGGCTCTTCAATGACACCATGATTTCTCAAATGAGTCTGAAATGATTCTCTGGATCTGAAGTACTGTGCACAGTCTAGATAAATGCAGGGCAGAGGGCAGTGGGCAGTATCTTCCATAATGTCTGATTATCTTTGTAATGTTCAATTATTCTTCTGCGACTACCACACAAGAAGGTGCATAACTTACACGTTCAATGCATGAAGTGCAAATATGTTCGGAGAAGGCACCTAAAAGAGTAGAGAAATAACTGTTACGTCTGTAACTATGGATTAACCCATAAATCATGAAAACACAGACCAGGTTTGTGAAATACGCTTCATAAATAAACAGCATAATTGGAATGGAACATATTTACAACATCAAAAATATCTAAAATGTGTTTAAATGTTGTGATTTTTGGTCTTTATCGTAGATAATCCACAACATAACTGTCCAGCCGCTCAATAATAATATAAATAATACAAGGATATGAAAGAAATAACTCTTCTACTGCTTAAGCTGTTCTGTAAAGCCAAAACACGAATTACAGTACACACAGAGGGTGCATAAAAATTGTTTTTGTCGTTACCCGATCCAGTCCCGGCGCAGTCTGGTGGACAGCGTGAACACTTAACTGTACTCCTGCGGGAAAAATAAATAAATAAATAAGAGACATTGACATTTATAACTTCTGCCTAGAGTCCAACGCGACTAAACAGCATGATTTTGTGGCACGTTACGATGCAAGATGCTCATTTCTAGTTATACAACTGTTGGTTAGAATCACTGTTCTCCTAAATAATTCAATCCGTGCACACTGGCTCCATTGCAGAAACCGGTCTCTCCAGAGCCTCTAAGCGAACGCATGTACGTGAACACACACACGTACATACACACACTTACTTGTTCATTTTCAGAGAGGCAGATTACATTTAAGAACGCACCAAATGAATATGGCGTTTTATCACGCTGTAGTGTTTGTTGTTCTGTATAGTATTGTCATTGACATAGCGTTACCTTCAAGTGTGTTGTAGTTTATTGCAGCATCTGGGTAGTTCACGCCGTACACACAGAACTTGTTGCAACACATCACTACCATGTCTAACTCCGCCATCTAGGCGGGCCGGTGTTCATATCAGTGCGCGGCACTATATACTACGCTAAGACATTGTTATGGGAGGATAAAAAATAAATAAAAAAAAGTCAGGCTTGATACGGGTTCGGGCCTGAGAATTCTGAAAATCTGTTGGACCGGGCCAGGGCCGAAAAGTGTAAGTGGGAGCTGCTACTCCCGAGTGACCGCAGGAGCTCAGCTGCACCCAAAACCCGGAGACCGTGCGTGTATCAGCGGCCAAGAAACTCACGTCATGTACATAGACAAACGGACAGTACTCGAATATTATGTGACAAAACAAACATTCCGTGATATCTCCATTCTCTAAACTTATGCTGCGTTACATTGTCATAAACAGCACGAACAAACATGGTCTTTCTCCATCATTATCACAGGTTCACGACAAAAGGCCAACTCATATATTGTTCTACAAGAGATAAAAACTTAACTTACCAAGGAAAGATGTAAGAATGATGCCAATAGTCCCAGAAGAAAAACCTTGCGGCCAACCATGCGGACAAATCGCGCGAAGAGGCACCTTCCGGGTCACGCAGACGTAAAGACGTCCTCAATTAAACGTTCAGCGGAGCATAATCAAGTCGATGAATATAAAATAGTTATCTTAAACTCTATTTTTACGTTTACTGTTGAAGAGTTGTTTCAATTCATAATTTCGCTTTGACAGCTTTTTGCAAAAAAACTGCCAATTTGACTCAATATTATGTGTTAAGACAATTAAAAGTGCAGTTTACAGTGCACTTTGCGGCTCTCTGATTGGTTGTCGCACGAACGTCCCAAGGAAAGGATGAGCAGAATCCATCTCCTGTGGGCGTCGATTTTTTGCTCCTGCTCCTCAATCAATCAATCAATCAAAGTTTATTTGTAGAGCGCCTTTCATACACAGGGCAACACAAAGCGCTTCACAGTCCACATCACAAATCATCACATAAAACAAACACCACAATCACAATTAAAACATTAAAATCACACAAAAGATTAAAACACAATTAAAACATTAAAATCACACAAAAGATTAAAACACAATTAAAACATTAAAATCACACAAAAGAATAAAACCATTAAAACTTTCAAAATTACACAAGAAATTTAAAATAAATAAATAAATAAATGACAACAGTGCATTAGAAATGGAGATAAAATCCTTCAGTTGTATGCACAGGCAAACAGAACAGTCTTTAACCTGGATTTGAACATTGACAGAGTAGACGCCTCCCTCACATTTTCAGGGAGATTGTTCCAGATCTTAGCTGCATGGATCTGAAACGCAGCCTCCCCATGTTTGGTTCTCACTCTGGGCACCAGCAGGAGGCCAGTCCCTGTGCTCCTCAGAGTCCGGGCTGGTTCATATGACACCAACATGTCACTAATGTATTTTGGTGCAAGGCCATGGAGAGACTTGTACACAAGCAGAGCTGTTTTAAAATCTATTCTCTGAGCCACAGGAAGCCAGTGCAGAGACCTGAGGACCGGACTAATATGGTCATACTTCCTGGTTCCTGTCAGGACTCTAGCTGCTGCATTTTGGATGTACTGCAGCTGCTTACAGGTCTGTTTGGACAGACCTGTAAGCAGGCCATTGCAGTAGTCTAGCCTGCTGGAGACAAATGCATGGACAAGAATCTCCAAGTCTGCCCTGGACACTATATTTCTAACTTTGGCAATGTTCTTCAGATGGTAAAAAGCTGTTGATGTTATTGATTTTATGTGGCTATTGAAATTTAGGTCTGAGTCCTCCCCTTTGACTGTGTGTGTGTGTGTGTGTGTGCATGGTGCGTGCGGCATGAAAGTCGGGCCGGAGTTTACTAATACATTGGCGAGACGGACCGGCTTCTTCACACCGTGCTAATAGAATTGTGTTCAATCAATTTTTATTTTTATTGCTTTTTTCTGCCTGAGATGTTGCTGCAGTACAGTGTTCATGGTTTTGCACAGGTCCAGACCAGAGCAGAGAGGATTCATGGTCCAAACCAAGCAGATCAGGTGAAAATCCACCGGAGGAATGCTGACTTTTTGAAAAATGCTAATGAAGCATTTAGCATTTCACTTTGGACTAGAGCAGAGAAAATGGTCCGAATCAAGCGGGTACTCCATGTTTTGACCTGTCCTGCTTCACCCAGAGACTACTCCACCTCTGCTGCTGTGACCCGTCCTGCTCTACCCAGAGGCTACTCAAAATGGGCTGCTGCGTCCTGTCCTGCTCCACCCAGAGGCTACTCCATCTGTGCGGCTGTGACCCGTCCTGCTCCACCCAGAGGCTACTCCACCTATGCTGCTGTGACCTGAAGGGCTGTTGCTAATGCTTATTACTATTATTATGTTTTTAGAATGATCAATTTTATTTTTGTTTTTGCTGCTACTGGACACTTGAATTTCTCCTAAGGGGATCAATAAAGTATCTATCTATCTATCTATCTAAATACGGTAATTACAGAACATTAAAACGAGTGAAGATGTGATGTATTCACAGCTAAACAAAACTGTTTTTAACCTGGATTTTAACACAGTCAGAATAGAAGCCTACCTCACATTTTCAGGAAGACTGTTCAAGATTTCAGCTGCGTAAATCTGATATGCTGCCTCCCTAATTTAGTTTTGGCTCTGGGCACCAGCAGGAGGCCAGTCCCTGTGCTCCTCAGAGGTAGAGTCGGTTCATCTGACACTAACTATTCTCTGAGGCACAGGAAACTTGCGCAGAGGCTGAACAGAACCTTGTGGTTCCTTCATAGTTTATTAGTACAAATAACAACATTTTCATTTTTTTGTGATAGATAGGTCTATATCATATAATTGGTTTCACATTTTATTTTGGATTACAGAAATAAATTGACTTTTGAACAACATTTAATTTCTACCTTTAATTTTTTGTCGTGAATGAGGTGAACACTCCTGCTCTAGAATGTATGCAGTATGTCTCTTTTGTACATGCACACACAAGTAATTTCCTTTATCGCTGCTGTTCAGGCTGCGGATGATAAGCTAGACAACTCCTGCACACATACCAAGTCGCTGTGAGGTTGTGTAATGTTTTTTTTTCCACTCTATTCCCCAGAAGACAGACAACACGCAACCGTTCACCTCATAATGAGGCGGCAGCGTGGCTATAGACGACATGGGACGTGATTAGACACCACAATACGCCCCTGACCTCATGCGAAAGACCACGTAGAGCAGTCATTCCAACAAAAGGCTCTTGGAAAAGACATTCAAATAAGTAAGGAAAGAGCCAACACTACAAAAGTGACTTTGTAGATTGCAGAGGTGTGGATGAGAATAGTTTATGTATGGGTTTGGGATAGAAAGAAAGAACATGAACAGGAATCAGTAGGATATTCAACTTATTTGGTGGGTCGGACTCTTTTGTGGGCAGGGCCACCTCAAGGCACTTTGAACCTGGACAACACATTTTTTCCAGGGCCTGGACTTTAAAGCATGAATTAAGATTAATTAAATACACCGCATTTGAACATGTTTTGCATCACGGAAATTTTCTTTCATGCAATGTGTTTTTGCAGACTGATTATCGTGTCGGACATGTTTCGGACAACAACACAAGCCCCGCCGATCAAAGATGGCGGCGTGGTCAAATCCTTAGCTTGTGCTCAGTGGCGCATGAAGCGAGCATAATTATTTTTCTTAAAGATTGTTGTTTGGATCGTTCTTTTATACAACTGTGGTCCTCGATGGTTCCTTCTTTCAACTTGTGAAGGCACGGTGAAAGCAACGATATCAGTAGCTCATGTGAAACGAAAACGCAATTCTTGCATCCTTTTTGTCCCTTATCCACCGCCGTTTTTCAAGATGGCGCATATTCACGGAGAGCACTCCTCTCTCACGGACACTTATAAGTAACATTCTAAGCCTATGAATGCAATTCAAAAAATATGGTAGAGGTAAATATTCTTCAAAAGGTCACATTTGTTATTAGTTAACATATTTTTTCATATGGAGACACTGTAAAAATTGCACAGGGTGGCTTTAAGCCTGGGTTACTCAATCGCACTCAACTGTAGATAAGGGTTATAAAGATAAGGGCCTGCAATATGTCCATCCATTTAAGATTAAGAGATCCTTTATTCGTCCAATAGTGGGGAAATTTCAGTGAGTAGCGATGCAACTATGCAGCCGGCTCCTGCCCGCGCATGCGTAAAACTTTTCTTCCCCTTGATCCATTTCTGGGTCGGAGGGGCGGCAGTCAGAGCTGCACTATATGTCTTATATTTCTAAATATGCTATTGCTACACTTAATGGCAAAAATTTCACTGGTCTGTTGGACTTGGCTGAGCAAAATAAACTATTTAAATTTGTTGCTTAAGCTCATGTATTCAGTCATTCAATGGTATACTAAAACTCTAAAACTTCATATACAATACTCTCAGGTAAAATGTTTATGTACGATTAAAATAAGATGAATTAATTACAAATTCTCTAATTAGATTTTTTATGTTTTTATTTAGGGTTTTTCATGATACAGGGAAAAAAAACACAGAACATTGTAAAACAGGGAGTGATCGAAAAAGAAAATTCCACATGTCTTCTTCAAAATGATAGTATAAAAATGATCTACATTTTGAGAATGAAGTTTGGTCTCTTAGCATTAGTGTATGTTACCCACTAACAGTGGGCCCCCTTGAACCTTTCAACATTTCGCCACATTTCAGGCTTCAAACATAAAGACATAACAAATATTTGTTTTGTCAAGAATCAACAACAAGTGGGACACAATCGTGAAGTGGAACGAAATTTATTGGATAATTTAAACTTTTTTAACAAATAAAAAACTGATAAGTGGGGCGTGCAATATTATTCGGCCACCTTGAGCTAATACTTTGTAGCGCCGCCTTTTGCTGCAATTACAGCTGCAAGTCGCTTGGGGTATGTCTCTATCAGTTTTGCACATCGAGAGACTGGAATTCTTTTCCATTCTTCCTTGCAAAACAGCTCGAGCTCAGTGAGGTTAGATGGAGAGCGTTTGTGAACAGCAGTCTTCAGCTCTTTCCACAGATTCTCGATTGGATTCAGGTCTGGACTTTGACTTGGCCATTCTAACACCTGGATACGTCTATTTGTGAACCATTCCATTGTAGATTTGGCTTTATGTTTTGGATCATTGTCCTGTTGGAACATAAATCTCCGTCCCAGTCTCAGGTCTTTTGCAGACTCCAACAGGTTTTCTTCCAGAATGGTACTGTATTTGGCTCCATCCATCTTCCCATCAATTTTATCCATCTTCCCTGTCCCTG